ACTAATGACAAAATAATTTACAAACTTACATGTACAAACACTTATTACTGACACTAATGACAAATTTACATTACATTACATTACATTCACAGTCAGTTAGATCTAATTAAGGGTGTGGTTAATAATATAAACTCGTATAATAATTTGTACAGATACTTATATATCTGTATATACAACTGCATATGTAACTATATACCCGACACTTAGCTATTGAGAAAAGAAAAGTTAGGATAACATGTTTTGCCATTTTTTTTTATAATGAATAGCTTTCCTGGGGGTTTTCCCCTCGGGGTTGACCCCCTGGACACCCCCTGGGATTTGTGAAGTTTTCAGCATCAAACAAAAACCTACTGAATCACTCCATGGGTTTTAGAGCATAAAATTCACACTGGTCAATTTCCCTCGCCAAGAGGCTAAGCTGTTGACAGAACCCCTTCATTTACAATAATAACAGACAAATTTANTTACAAGATCGTTGTAAACAATATTACATAATTAATTACACTTACGCTGCCCCTGTTACAATTAATTACTAACACTAATGACAAAATAATTTACAAACTTACATGTACAAACACTTATTATTGACACTAATTACAAATTTACATTACATTACATTCACAGTCAGTTAGATCTAATTAAGGGTGTGGTTAATAATATAAACCCATATAATAATATGTACAGATACTTACATATCTATATATACAACTGCATATGTAACTATATACCCAATACTTAGCTATTGAGAAAAGAAAAGTTAGGATAACATGTTTTGCCATTTTTTTTATAATGAATAGCTTTCCTGGGGGTTTTCCCCTCGGGGTTGACCCCCTGGAAACCCCCTGGGATTTGTGAAGTTTTCAGCATCAAACAAAAACCTACTGAATCACTCCATGGGTTTTAGAGCACACTGGTCAATTTCCCTCGCCAAGAGGCTAAACTGTTGACAGAACCCCTTCATTTACAATAATAACAGACAAATTTATCAATTTTTCTTACTCTCTTCTTCTTTGAAACTCATACCACGTCCTAGGCTTTGTACAACGGTAGGATGAACAACAAACATGCAACAAACTTTGAAGACCTCTATGAAATGTCATGTAAATGGCCGCAAGGTTGCTCATCTACATGTTCATCCAGGATGTTGAAAGTGACATACCACTGACCACTCTCAAACAAATCCCATAGGTGCATCCCAGTGGTCTGGCACATTTGTTTCAAAAACCAAACAATGTCTTCATCCTATGGGACAATTTTTGTTTAAAAAATGCACCATTCCTTGCATATTCCTAGGGTTTCTCTTCTTACTTAGTGGTCTTCAAAGTTTGTAGATCTCTAGTAGGAAGATTCATTGTTATTGAGACTTTTCTTACTTATAAAAATTATTTTATTCCAGGAAAGAAGGGTAAAAACCCAAAAGGACTTCCATCACCTTGGTAAGTTACATATTGTAATGTTTGTGAAGAGATAATATTTGAACTTTAAATGTAGCATCTACAGTTATGTAGTACTACATTTACACCAGCACTAAAACACCTTTTTAACTCATGA